GATAGAACACATGGAGCAAAGCAGAGTTAAAAGGACTAAATATTAGCTAAATTGAGCATATCGGAGAAAGCAAGCCTGACACATAAGTGTCAGACTCTGGGCACCAAGGTACTCCATCCAAGTACCTTGGCGCTAGCTTATTGGAGCATAGGCGCCAGAACCAGTGTAACAACCCAAGAGGTCGGCGCCAATGCATGATTATTATTCTATAGTTGCTTTACCACAACTTGAGGAGTGAAGTAGTAGTTTTAAGCAGTTCAAAAGAAATTTCTTAGAGGGCCCGAAGCATTCTGAAGGAGAGGAGAGGTGGAGAGAAGCCAAGGAGTCTTAGAAAGATCTAGGGTTTGTAAATTTTTAATTTTCTTAAGAGATTAGTGAGAGCTTTAGAGAGAAATCTGTAAGGGAAGCAATACAACATTGTAGGGAGGACTTGGATTCATTGTTGGAGGAACATTTCAACCCTTTTCGGAAAAGAAAAACTAAGTATCATGTTTCTATTTGTCTTAGACTTGTTTTAAACACATATTTAGTGTATTTATTTTGTTAAATGATGATGTTTTCCATTGTAATCTTCATGCTATGTGAGTAGATTTTGTTTACTTTTCTCTTGTGATGGATAGTGGGATTAATAAGATGTGTTTAGAATTAGATTTTAATACTAATGTGATGATCTTTCATTTTGTGCTTCTTTTAATTATCATTTTGGTCAAATGGTATGTTAAAATTTATTGTGAAACCAAAAAGACTCGAACAAGCTATGAAATGAACAACTAGGGAGATTACATTGAACTAGTGGGTGAAGAAAAGGTAGTCCATATGGCAATGCAAATAGATAAGGAGATAGGTTTTGATGGGTATAACTTGGGGTTTTCTAGGGTGACAGACATGAACACTTTCCAAGTTAAACCAAACTTCTTTACGCACTTAGAAGAGGATAAACAAGATATACGCTATTCATATTAGTAATTCTCATTATTGTATCCTCTAATCCACTTATGCAATCATAAGAGAAAGGTAGCTTTTGAAATTCACCTAACCCATTGATATAGATAGGTTTAACTTTAAAGTTAGTGCAATAGTTTAGGAGTAATTTTTAGAAAAAACATTGTAATTTGCATTCCGAACTAAGACCCAGCA